GGAATGTTTAGATTGTTAAAATTTAATTTAGATTGTCTGGATTTGCAACCAGAACCACTTTGGTTTTGCAGTGATATATTTTTTTGTGTAGAGAATTCGTTGAGGTGTTTGGTAATCTCATTTTTAAATTCACTGTGCTTTTTCTTTATAAAAGAAAAAAATAGTATGTATCAAAGTTGGATGAAAATAACTTCGCCTGAATCAAATTTCATTTTTAAAATTTTATATGGAAATTTAAAGTTAAAAAAAACAATGTACAGGCTGAATGTAAAACCTATATAAACAAAAAAATGATAAAGGATTTAACACAAATTTTGTTAAACATATTAAAGTATATTGTTTAATTTATATATGGTTGAAAAAGGTTCATATAGATTATTTTAAATTTACAATATTGTCTTTGTCTATCATTATTAAAAGGTGCCCAAGATGATATGGGCTAAAGATTTTGATAAAATATTTTCCTATATATGAATATAATTAGCTTTTTTGGCATTTAAGAACTATGGATTAAGGGTTCAACAAATTTTGTTAAACATATTAAAGTATGTTTTATTAGTGGTTAAAAGGGGGTAGGTTATCTTAAAAATTTAAGTTTACAATATTGTCTATCATTATTAAAAGTTGCCCATGATGATATGGGCCAAAGATTTTGATAAAGTATTTTCCTATTATGAATATAATGAGGCTTTTTGGCATTTAAGAATTTATGGATTGAGTCAAATGATATAAAAAATACTTTCAATTCAAAATATATTATTAAAAAAAGCCCTAAAAATGTTGTCAAGAGGATTATATAATAAAGCTCAAACTGAAACTATAATACTAATTGATTAGATTTAACATATAATAAAGAAATATAGAATAGATATTTGATTTTCTTTTGGTGAAACATTGCTATCAATACAAATAACATTGAACTGGATGTTTTAATTATATTAAAGAAAGTCAAAATACCTTCCATTTATTATAAATACTCTTCTTTTGAAAATTAAACTAATATAATAGTAATATTAAAAAATAAATGCCTAATTATTATATATAAATAACAAAACCAAGATTAACTCTTCATCAAATATTTTATTAATTATACTGTATCTAATAATTCATTTTTTTTATAAAGAATCTGTATCTAGATTCTATTTCTGAAGTACCTGCTCAACTCAGGAATGTAATAAAAATTTAAACATGTTGACATTAAGTTTATCAAATAAAAAAAATTTAAAAGAAAGGATGATATTTTGGAAGATGATATTATCTTCTTACAGAGACGGCATTTGGTGCTGATCATATTATAAGAGTTGCTTTCATCCATTTCACATAAAGTAAAATACTTACGTAATTTCAAAAATGGTAAAAGATTCTCATTCTCACTTATATCTGCTGTTACATCAATAGTAGAAGCAATAGAATCTTCTAAATCTATAATGGACATTTACATTTACTTATTAAAATAAATATTAATATATTATTATAAATTTATATATAAATAACTTGTAAGAGCTCTAAATCTCGTAAAATTTAGGAAATGAATAAATATATCTATAAAATAAATGGTGGAATGGATTGATAATGGAAGTTGATAAAATCTGAAGATAGATATTTTTTAAATATAATATTTTAATTTAATTTTCAAAATTTTTATTTTATTTATTGCTTTTTAAGTAAAAAATTAATTTTTAAAAAGATCGGGATCGAATTTTAAACAAAATGATTTCGATCTCGATCCTCAATTTAAGTCAGAATCATAAATCTCGTAAAATTGACAAATTTGCGATCGAATCCAGGATCGTCGATCTTTTGATTCGATCTTTTAACAACTCTGCATAAGACTAACATTTAACATGGAAAAAATATCCAAGCATCCAAGACTAACATTTAACATTAAAAATCCCAATATAGGTTCAAGAAAAAAGCATCCAAGATCTTAATATTTAAAAAGAATTTCTCTAACCCACCTTCCCTAATAATTTTGAAACCAAGCCCAGAGATATTAAATAAGACTAACATTTAACATTAAAAAATCCCAATATAGGTTCAAGCCTACAATATCTGGAAAAAATATCCAAGCATCCAAGACTAACCTTTAACATTAAAAAATCCCAATATAGGTTCAAGCCTACAATATCTGGATAAAATATCCAAGCATCCAAGATATTAATATTTAAAAAGATTTTCTCAAGCCCACCTTCCCTAATAATTTTAAAATCAAGCCCAGAGATATTAAATTTATAACATAAAGACTAACATTTAACATTAAAAAATCCTAATATAGGTTCAAGCCTACAATATCTGGAAAAAATATCCAAGCATCCAAGACGAACATTTAATAATATAAAATATCCAAGCATCCAAGATCTTAATATTTAAAAAGATTTTCTCAAGCCCACCTTCCCTAATAATTTTGAAATCAAGCCCAGAGATATTAATTTTATAAATAATGAAGAGGAAAATCTGATTTACCAATTAGTCAACAGGTAAAATATATTACTTTATAAAAAGAATAACATAAGACTAACATTTAACATGGAAAAAATATCCAAGCATCCAAGACTAACATTTAACATTAAAAAATCCCAATAAAGGTTCAAGAAAAAAGCATCCAAGATCTTAATATTTAAAAAGAATTTCTCCCACCTTCCCCAATAATTTTGAAACCAAACCCAGAGATATTAAATTTATAATTAATGAAGAGGAAATCTCTAATTTACCAATTATTCTACAGGTAAAATATATTACTTTATAAAAATAATAACGTAAGACTAACATTTAACATTAAAAAATCCCAATATAATATTGAAAAATATTATACTTGATAAATAAAAGAATGTTCTATAAAAATATTTTCTATAAAAAAAATAAAATAAAATCAATAAAAAAATAAAAATAAGTACGTACCGATGACATGAGGTAGCGATGACATGACGTCACGATGACGTAGTGAGGACATCGGAAAATTATAATATAGATATAACACAGTTTACCATTATTGTTTAGCTAAAATATGCAATCATATGCTCTCAGCATCTGTAGTAATAATCTTAACTTACATTGCCACACAAATAATAGATGCTGGTTAATTTGCAGTCATAGCCATGACACTCACGATGTTAACTCATATCAGAATTTATTATATTAAATAAATTGATAAAAAACGCTAAAAATCTTTAGAAAAATAAATATATTGAAACCTTAAGTTATTTACATGGAAAGGATGCCTTAGAAATGAAACATTTTAACCAGAGTAATATGATCAAGCAATTAAGATTTTACATATTATTGTCGCACCACCTCAAGTTAGTATATTATATCTTAAATATTAGTTTGTAATTATCAAAAATATACTCGTATTAAAAATTTAATTCGAAGTTTTCAAATAAGAAAAAAATAGCTTTCCTAAAAACACATAAAAAAAGAGAAGAAAAGATATCTAATTTATTACATTGATTGTGGGATGAATAATAAGATGTTTAATTTTTAATAATATTTTAAATCAATAGATGGCATTAAAGAATTAAATGCAGATTGTTAATTATATTTATTATCAAAAGCATTTATTAGTAAAATTTATTAAATTATTAACTATAATATATTATATAACTGTCAAATACGTCTGTAAAAGTGGCATTTTACCTAATATTCTATAACCAATTATATATAATAGGGTATTATAAACTATATGTCTACTTTTTTATAAAGATCCATACTTATTTGGACCCAACAATATTTCTAGTAAGAGGCATAGTAATTAAATTTAAAAATGAATGATTAGTGATTTTGAACTTGGCTAATTACAATATTAAATTTGTTAATTTTAAATTAATATATGATTGTATTAATTTAAGGAGGTTTATATAATTTAAATAATAAAAGTCAATTAAGCTTCAACAGATAATGCTAAATTAATATTTAGTGAGTGATATTGATATTCTATTTTTTAACACAGAATTTGATTGCAAGCTGACATAGTGAAATAATTTATATGTATTAATCAAATCTAATAATTAAAATTATATTCGTTTAATAAAGATTTAGATGTCTTATTAATTTTTAAATGATAAATTTAATCGAAATATTATTTAACAGAATTATAAAAGAAATCGTTCAGGGGGCAATCAAAACAATTTATTTTTAGTTCAAGGGGATATTAAGGAGCCATTAAAAAAAATTTTGCTTCAGGGGGCTATTCAAATTTTTTAGGGGGCTCAAGCTCCTGCACGCCCCTATCTAGTGACGCCACCGCTAAAATCTTAATTGGCTGTTTTATAAATCGGCCCGAATCGGGCTTTTTAACAATACTAATGCCCAAACATTGATGGCCCAAATGAAAGAAGATGAGTTTTCTAAATTAAAACTGATCAAAAATTATTTATAAGTCGTCGATGAGCTAAAATTGTTGTCTCTTACTATAACTAAAACCTTATTTATCCATAGTTTCTACTGAATATACAATTTAAAAATATTAAATTTAAAATTGATATTAAATTTTTTGAAAATTTAAACGCCAGATTAGTGAGACCCGGCACTGATTACAGGGTAAAAAACGTTATTTAAGGAAGAATATTTGTTGTTATAAAATTATAAGTAATAAAAATTTAAGGGTTCAAATAAGGTGTCTTTAATATATTTGGAAAATAACATCTCTTGTTATAATTAGATAAACGCTTATTATAGCAACTAATGTAGAGATAGTCACAATTAGAGTTTTACTGTAATTTTTTAATTCATACCTGTAAAATTTTTTTAAATATTTGATTCAATTTTATTTGTATAAAAAAATCATTTATATAATATAAAATATTTAAAATTACAGTATTATAAAAATAAATTTATTATTATTATATATAAAAATTAATATGCTATTATAATTTTAAAAAATCTAAAATGTTTAATTTTTAAGAAATTATTCGAATTTGGTAATGTTAGAAAGTCAATGTGCAATGATTTAACATATCTTTAGATATCAATCAAATATATCATCCGTTATTTTATGATATGTTTAGTATTATCTTTTTATGTGTTATTTTCATTTTTTTATCTTATGAATGATAGAATTGTTAAAGAAATGTTCTATGAGGGACATTCAGGGGCCAATTTTTTTGAAAATATTAAATTTCTACTGATATATCCATTAAGCAGTTTAATAATGAATCTGACTTTTAGGATATTCTCAAACAGTTCATCATTTAATATATTTTTCATTCTAGTTCAATTATTGCCATTAATCTTGGGATTGACACTTATGTCTTCTCATATAAATTTAATATTGCTATTTCAAATATTGATATTAACTATTTTATTAAAGAGAGGAAAATATGATTCAAGTAATTTATTTATGTTCATGTTTAAATTATGTTAATTTAAGAAAAATATTTTTTTATAATGTGATTAAATTAATTGTACAATTATTTTTTAACTTTCGGTGAATATGAAGAATTTGTTAATGACAGAATTATACTTAAATTGTTATATTTATTTAATATGCAGGGGTATATTATGTGAATAATAAAAGCCCATTTTTCCCAATAAGAGAAGCTTATAAAAGAATTAGGGCTGAGAAATATTTTATTTTCATATTCATAAATTTGTAATATGAAAGTAAAGATTAACTATAAACTATCAAGTTAATTGATCATTTAAATGTAATGCATATACTATTAAATGGCTTGATTTGAGCTCATTTGTAAAAATGGCTAACTCAATATTTTAACCAGAAGAATATTGCCTAAACCTAGAGATTTTGCTAATAGATGTCCAAACCTTTGTGAACTATGACCAAGATCTTCAGCTTGCATAATACTTTTCTGGATAAAATATTGAATTAGCCTTTGTAAAAATCAGCTTAATCTCACGTGTTTAACAACACTAAATACATAATATTATAATGAAGGTTAGGATAAATATTTTAAGTTTGAATTATTTCCTAATTGTATTTATAAAATGTTGGACTATAAATGTTTATTTTTTGCTACCAAGCTATGGGCAGGCTTGGGCCAAAAACATTATTTTTCAGGTTTATCTCTAAAGTGGACCAGAGAGGCTGCCCACTCTTAACCCATGGGCCTAATATTATATTGAGTATGAATTTTTTTTAAATATTTATCTGATTTTAAACAGTTGCTAACTTAAAAAAATATTTCCATTTATTCTAATAATAAATCTCAATATTGCGAACAAAGTTATTGCTTAAATTTAGGGATATACTGATATTTTTTATTGAATTGATTGAGCCGATATTACGTCTTTTTTAAAATAAAGGTTATTGGCCAATATTATAAAATTTTCCAATCCAATTCTATAAAATGGCGACTTAATTATTTAAATTTTTTTTTCTAAATTTCATAATATTTGTTACTTATGTAAATAGTAGGGATGTACCGATATTTTATATCGGATCGGGCCGATATTTCGCTCATTTTAAAATATCGGTTATCGGCAAATATTATAAAATTTTCTGATCCGATATAAAATGGCGCTTTTAACAAAATTTAAAAAAAATTATATCTAAAAAACCATTTATTTTTATAAATAAAATCGAAATACATTTTTATGTTTAATTTTTTTAATAGAAATAATTAGTTAATAAACATTCTGTAATATAGTTATTTTTTTCGCATTCTGTTTAAAAAAGTGTTCATTAATCTCTTCAGTATCTGTTTTTAGTGATGCTAGTGATATAAACAGTCCCCATCACCGCCGACATATCTCTGATATAAAAAGAAATCTTCGATATATTAATTTTAAATATTAATTTCATATTTCATAATATATTTTTTTATTACTATATATGTAAATAGATTAATGTTATTACTTATTATATAAATAATAGCAATTGAATTGAATATAAACTATAACTGACCATTATAATATATTTAAATGACATATGTTATGGTATAGTAAAATTATAGATGTTGTACTAATAAAAAGTATATTAAAAATTAAAACCGGTATCTTTGCAGAATACAAAATTAGATATGATATCGGATCGGTTATCGGCTGCTATCAATTTAATATCTGAAATATCGGATCGGATCGGCCTCCAAAAAGTGGTATCGGTACACCCCTAGTAAATAGATTAATGTTATTATATATGATATCAATAAAAAATTTTATACACTTTTAATAATTGATCATTATAGTATATTTAAATGGCTTATAATATAGTTAAGTTATAGGAATCTAGGAAAATAATTCCCCGGAAAATAAATCCCCATTAAAAAAAATTCCCCGGAAGATTACTCCCCGGAAAAAAAATACTCAGGAAAAATATTCCCAGGTAAATAATTCTCCGGAATAAAAATCCCCGGAAAAAAATTACCTTGGAAAATAATTCCCCGGAAAAAAATTCCCATAGAAAATACTCGGAAAAAAATTCCCTATTTTTTAAATCCTATAAAATATTAAATTATTTTTATAAAATTAACAATATAGGAAAAAATATCCTCGGAAAAAAAATTTGAAGGAAAGATTTAATAGAGTGGCTAAAATTTATTATTTTTCTGATGGAGCAGTAACCAATATAAAAATAAAAGATTTCATTAATCTCTACAATCATGAAAATGATTTTGGGATAAAGGCTGAGTGACATTTTTTGAAACCGCACAAGGTAAAAGTCCATGCTACATTTTGGGGGCGGTTACTAAACGGTTAGCAGCTCGAGCAAGCTTGCAACGTCCATATGAACATCACATATTGACAACAATAGATTTATTTAACTATGCAAGTAATAATATCTATGGGGTAAATAATATATTTGTGAGCAATAATGAATATATGAACATAGAAAGTCTTCTTGAAAGCAGATTTTTGAAAGCAAAGAGAATTTCTGGAACACAAAGTTCCAAGCTTTTATTCCTCTAGACGAAAACAAAAGTCATAATTTATTAAAATTCCTTGGATGATTATAATATATGATATATTTAATTAAAAATTTTTGATTGTATTATATGTAATGCAATTTGAGGCAAATAAAGTTATAAATATGTTTAGAATTATTTTGTCAAATAACTTCGAGACAAAATTTAACTTAAGTGTTAAACAAAGCTCATTATTCCAGCCACTTCTCAAAAATTTTGATAAAGATAAAAAAAAAGTAAGGGCCTGTCATTTAGACATAATTTTTAAATTAACATATAGGGTTCTATCTACCTCAACTTAAATTAATTTTTTAGGATAACAAAATTAAAAAATATTTAGATAAATAATTTAATTATATATATTTATGATGCTTATATATTAAAAATCTTTTTAAATTGAAATCGTTTTTAAATAACAAATATTTTTTTAAATATATATATAATTAAATTATTTATCTAAATATTTTTTAATTTTGTTATCCTAAAAAATTGATTTAAGTTGAGGTAGATAGAACCCTATAAAAATCCTACAGCGATACCAAATATTATAAAAAGAACTGTTCTATCAATATGAAATAACAACTCTAATAAATAAAAAGTCAATTATGTTTGGGATACTTTGGAAATTTAATTTTGGAGAAATAATAAAGCTACTTTTAGCCCTTTTAAAAAATAAATATTTCCAAGACCTGGGTTTATTATGTCAGAAAATGAGCCAAATCATGCCGGGCCTGGAGATATCCGATAAAACGTTTTAATCATCGTACAATATAAATAAAAATTAAAATAATTTATAGGCTCAGTATTTAATGCGACCAAAGCCAATTCACAAGATTCTCATATAAAATTCATAACCTCATATATGGTCTATGTCCTTTTAGCTACCCTGATATGTATATTAGGTGTAGATTTTCGCGTTTTTCCTCGCCATTTAGCTAAATCTGAATTTTATGGATTAGGGTTTATGGATTTTGGTGTGGGCGCTTTTGTTTTTACTAATGCTCTTATATCACAAAATTCTACTTTTAGGTTAAATATTTTTTTAAAAAAAATTCTATAATTATGAAATTTTTCGGTATAACATCAGAAAAACATTAAAATCGTCCGGAATTTTAATATTGTTCGGCGTGTTAAGGACTTTATTTATCAAACATTTGAATTATCACGAACACATAAGTGAATACGGCTCGCATTGGAATTTTTTCATAACGTTAGCCTCCGTTAAAGTATTCGATTAATTTTTTATTATAATACTTGTTATTTAGTTATTAGGTTTTTTTATGGAAAAGTTGGCTATATTTAATTTTTATTGCTGCAAGAGACGATTTTCTGTAATAAACGGTATTTTGTTGAATATATCTTTTACTCTATTTAACGCGCTTTTGGCATTATTTGCTCATTACTTCCTCATAAATAATATGACATTTATTCAATATTTTGATATGGATATACATTCCTTACGTACGGATTGGATCATGTCTAACAGAGAAGGAATCTTATCATTTCTCGGATATCTTTCGATATATATATTTGGAACTTTTAGTGCAAAAATTATATTTTATAGCTATAAGTTAGTTATGTCATAAAATCTTAAATTAACTTTTTATTATAGAAAATCCAACCACATGGTGATAAAACACCTTTTTTTCATGTGCATTGCATCAGCAGTACTTTGTATCATTACTGTTAATTATAAAAACGTATCAAGACGTGTGTGCAATCCTTCTTATATTATTATAGCGGTAACGATCATTTAATTATGATCATAATTCATTTATTTAGGTTTTTTTAAATATATTTTCCCTTTTAATCTTCGCAACTATGGATGCAATCGAGAACTCATGCATCAACATAAACCAAAGTTTATAACCATTACAAATTAAACCTATTAATTTTTTTTAGAAGCGGTTCATGCTTTAGATAATTTTATGGAAAAAATAAATCATAATGGATTAATCCTATTTATCATCGCAAATATATTTACTGGTTTGATAAATATTTTTGTCAATACTCAAAATGTTTCAAATAATATTGCTTTTATCATTATATGCACTTATATTTATATAATATTAAATGCTATTCAATTGGTTGAATATTTTAAAAAAAGATATGAGGTTGCAAACTTCAGTAGTTAATAAAATTAGCTTATTGATGATATAATATAAAATCATAGAATCGATATTTTATTATTCTAAGTTTATTTTGTTTTCTTAGCCAATATAGACTTCTTAGAAGATTTTTGAGGACTTTTACTAGTTTGCAGTTCGTATATTTTTTCGGTATCAGCTTTATCCTTGTTTTGGTCCAAATTTGGTAATGATGACCCTCTTCTTTTAGAATCAGGGTGCTCATCTTTTTTTGATTTATCTTTATCCGAATCTGCTGATTCGTCATCATCTTTATCATCTGTTTTATTAAAATTTTAATATCAAAGTTCATGTACCATATAAGCAATATATTTAAAACTTTACAACATAAGGAAAACATTAAATAAATTAAATCTACTTAAACCCCCATTTTTAATTAACCCTTTATTTAATTGGATACGGGCTTTTTCTTACTTCTCGTAAACATTTTAATAACAAGTTCGTCTTGTTATTGTTTCAGTTTTATGGGGCTTTACGAGAACCGAGTGTTGCTCTGTTGAATATGCAACGGCAGAGGTAAAGATCAGGGTTGCCAGACCTCCCGATTTTTAACCCTCATTTATGCCAAAGTATGCCGTCTATTAATTTAGCTCCCTATTTTTTCATAAAATAAATGTAGGCTTTCTCGAAATTTCATTGTAAAATTTTGAAACATAAAATGCTTGAAATAATTAGTCTAACCAAGAACGAAATATTATGATAAATCACATTCTTATTATTTTTAATTCCGAAAATGATATTGAATCTTATCTGAATGTGAAATAAGTATTTTATATAATTTTCAAAATCCAATCTATATTAAATGATATTGAAGTTTGAAACGATTCTGAATCTTGATATTATTTAAAAATTTTACAGTTAATGATTTTTGATTAGTTAAATAAAATTTTCTCCTATTTAATTTCTTTCCATTTATATTTTTTATTCCATTAATTTAATATAGAATTCCACCATTCATAAATTAGAGATGATAAATAAAATAATTTAAATGAAATATAAATAAAGTACAATTTAAAATTTAATATCAGCCATGGAGGAGTCCCTGATTAATGTTGTTAAAAAGCCCGATTTGGGCTGATTCTAAAAAAAACGGCCTAATTAGGATTATAAACAAAATAACAATATGTAAGCTATAAAGATTTTGCACATAGCTGACAGAAATGCTTGGATCTATTTGTTACATCTCGATGCTTGCATAATATGATTTTAGCCAAAATCTTAATCGAACCGTTTAGAAAACTCGACCCAAACCGGGCTTTTTAACAACACTATCCATGTTGCTAAAAAACATTCAACAAAACAAAGCATATATCTAATTATAAAAATAAGAAGACATAAAATATTAAACTTTAAAAACATAAATTTTGTGATAATACTGTTTAATATCTGAAGCGACATTCATCTATCACGATAATTATCTAGATTGCACCTCAAACTTATTGTCTATTCTCTTTCCTGATTCAAAAATAACCAAAAACATAAAATGTAGAGGAATAAAATCCTTAAAAAAAGTTTTTAATATCAAAGGTCCTGCAATTAAGGGACACATTTTACAGGATTTAAATAAAAATATTTTATTTATTAACGAATGCCTCAAATAATGGAAAAACCAAAACATTCCTAATAATACTTAGTTATTTATTTTAATAAAGAAGCATGAGTTTTCAATTAAACTCTAAAATAAATTCACTTGATTTGGAGAAGTCGAGGGATATTTTATCTATTCTTATGCAGAACCTTGATTTTAAAACTAAAATTTACAATTTAATTATTGATATATTCTTGTAAAAAATATGAATACGCTTTATTTTATGTACTGATTTTTACAATGTCTGCATATCTATGTAAACGGTTAATAAAATAATTTTTGGAATTATGGTTAAATTTTCCCTTTTCTTTGAAAGATGCAACCTTGATATATTTTAAAAAAACCTTTGAGAATCTAAAATAACTAGTGAGATATTATAACGAATTATAAAATAGTCGTTAATTTTTTTCAAAATATTGAACATAATATGGTAACGTATTCCTTTTTTTTAAATAGAGTCATTTTCGTTTCTCATTACTTGATCTTGATATTTTATTATTGTTTGCTTAGAGTCCTTATTAGAGGTCTGTAATGCACATGTTTTAACCCGAATGTTTAAAATTTTAAAGCCCGTCCTCTAGTTTTTATATTATTTTTTAAATAATATAAACTTTATTCTCCTCACAAAACAAAGTTGTCTAATTTAAAGAATAATGGTTTAGACTTGAAAAAATAAATGTCTTGTTTATTTAAATTATTCGCTTTCAAATTTTAGTATAATATAAAAAATTTATATTATATTAGGTTCATGGTTGGGATGTGAGTCTAATAATAAATAATATATAATCCATGAAATAAAAAAATCATATCAACGTCCATTTATGACAATATAAACACTTCTTATAGTTATAACGTATTTTTAATTTTAAAATTTTAGTTGCAAGAACATCTTGAGCTTCGGAAATGTATTAAAACCAGGGGTGTATTTCGCAGGAGTCAGGCCTCTCTCCCCAAAATTTTTTACAGTTGCTAAATTTGAATCTAATGTAAAATCAATCTTTTTGTTTTAAAATTTTATAGTCAAAAATAGATTTTTTTTATAGCCAGATAGAAAATAGAGTTATAAAAATTTTATTTTTAAATTTTGATTTCTCCCATTTTAACAATTTTTTTTATAGGTATTAGAAATTTTTTTCAAGTTAAATAAAAGGTTATAAAAATATTTTTTTTTTGAAAATATTAAAACAAATGCTAATAAAACAGTACTTGCTGAAGAACAATCTACAGTTATGACATGTTTTTACATGTGTCGCCAACTCCGTGGGCATGTCTTTAAACATCAAATTTTCTTTGTTAAAAATTATTACTCCCATATAAATTTTTATAAATCGGCACCATTTCTGTAAATACAGTGAGGTTCACCGCCAGAAGTGGTGGTGGTAAATGGTTTTATTTTTGCAGGTTTTAAGCCAACTCTTAAAAGGCTAAACCTAATTTTTAAGCCAAAACTATCATCTTCGCCTCGATTGAGGTTTAATCTTAGGATAACTCAATTTAAAAAAAATATAGCCTCAAGGCTTAGTGAATTTTTTAGACTGTTAAGATTGACCGATTTAAAAACACTTCAAGGATCTTTTAAATGTTTAATGGAAATTTAAAATTTTTAAATAGGTTGTTAAGATTAGTCAATATAATTTTAAAGTAATAATAAATTATTTTTATAATCTAATTCTCAGTTGTCGATTAGGCATTCTTTATTTATTGATAGGCTGATATTTAAAAAAAATTAAATCATTAGGAACAGACTATAATATTTAAATATTATATATGAATATTTAGATCTCGTTTGATTCAGTAATAAAACTTATTTAATATACCATTAAAAAAATCGCAAACTAGTAAGTTTAAAAATAGACAAATTTATAATTTCTCTAATGTATAGCTAAAACTGAAAAAATTTTGATAACATTATTTTCATTATTTTATTTTAGGAATTCTTTCCAATATATTCTTTATTCTATAATAAAATTGGCCTAGAATCTAGATGAGCGATTTGGCGAAAAGCAAATAAAGAGGAACTGCCAAAGATTTTAATTAAATAAATATGTGATTGCTGGGCTTCGACAAGATATAGATTAAGATATTCTTATGAAAATCCTTAACTTCAATACTTTATCCTGCAGTACTGCTGATCGTGAAAGGGGTTTCATATGAATTGATCGTCCTAGATAATCGAGCGCGCTTAAGAGTACAAAATTTGTCAATGTTTATAATTATTTTTGGACTTTCGATATCGGGGCAGATTCCGGATCAAAGCTAAAAAAGAATCATCGCGGGGCTATAAAATCATTTCAAAAAATCGAAGAAATGAAAGATGTATGGAAATTTTTTCAATTCATATTTTTATTTATTTTAGTATTAAATTTGTGATATTATATTTATAATATTATATAGATAAAGAATTTATTCATATTCGTAATAAAAAAAAATTCGATTATATATATACCATATTTTCGTAATATATAAAAAAAATGGTCTCGTTCCAAATTTTTAAGCAATGCTCCACTGATTAAGACTAGCACTAGTAACTATAAAAAATAACTTTGTGAAAAAATATTAATTTTCTTAAGCATTTAAAATTTGTAAATTTAAATTATATTTTTAAAAAATTACATGTTGGAATAAAAATATTTTTAAGAATTATTGCATGTCTTATAAAGTATTATTGAAAAAATAAAATTAAGTAGCATATTATAAATTAAAATATAAAATTTAAACTTTGGGATTGGCTAATTTTTCAGTGATTTCATCAGCGCTTAAACTTCCTATTTATATAAGAATTCAATCAATTTTCAGATTAGTACTTCTCAGGCAATAGTACTAATGGGTTAAGTTGCCAAAAGTATAATAATTTTAATATAACATTTTTTGAACATTATCAACTATAGTTAACTTTTCATATCATAGTTTGCATTTAGCTAGTTATTTAATTATTTCCCAAGATTTGAGATAGATTCGGAAAATTTTTTAACTGCTACCTGAGGAATCAAGAACTTTTCATTCATTTGAGTAATCAAAGTATCCAAGAGGTAGATAAAGAAGTTTCTTTTATAATATTCTTCGACTACCCCTATATTAATATTAGAACGATGGACTTGCCTTGCTGCGAGTCGAGGTAGACAAATATTAAATTCACAGAGCCCTGCTATTGACTCACAATGGCGTATAAATTATGAAATTCGTTATTTACATTTGTCTTAATTTCCTTAAGTTCCAATATGATGCTTTCAGCTATTTAGTCTCAATCAAATCAATTTTATTTTTTTCTAATATTTTACATAAAAACTTGTGTAATTAAATAATTTTTTAGTATATTCGAATGTAAAAATTTTTTTTGAATTGCTCACTCAGCATGCGCTCTATCGTACCCTTGTCAAGATGAATAGGATTCTGATTTTTACCAATATAGATAAATAAAAGTTCTTATATCTATTTTTTGAATAAATTTAAAACCTTAAATATTAATTTTTTGAAATATTTTACTTTAATGATATATAAATATAACGCCGTGAAATCGATTTTAGTTCATAGAAATAAATTAGTAGCGCATTTAATTCTCCTGTGAATATAATAAATAACTTAAATTGAAATATATGTTAGATAAGAGGTGATAAATTCTCATCTCACTCTTTTTCATATTACTACAACTTAACCCTAGTCCTTAGCATGTAAAAAAGCTCATAAAAGATTTACCTTCCTGTTAATTAGATAATTTTTTGAATATAAAAAATTTTGTATTTCTTTTACTTTTGTAATTTAATGACCTTTAAACTTTATATTTTCCTAATGAAATTTTCGTATTTTATTTTACTTTTTAAGGACGAAGTTGTCAAAATTTAACCTTTTAAAAAATTTATGTAAAAAGTGTAAATTAAAATTGTATATATATATATATAAAATTGTAAAATTTTTAGTATTAGTAATAATAAAAAATAAAATAAAAATTAAATTAAATTTTTATATTCTTTCCGTGCCTTCCGTTAATCTAAAATGGTGGCAGCGTATGTAAATAAAATTTTAGCATGATTTTAGATACTGGAACATGATGAAGCTAGAAGAAAGAGGATTAGGGAAAATATTTAATTCTAAAAACACGTAAGAGATTATTAAAATATAAAATTAAAAATAAATATAATAAAATTTTAATGATTAAATATTTAAAATATGAATAAACCTATATAGGGGGGCAATAATGATAAAACAAAATCCATAGATTAATTAGAAGATTATTTAGATAGTAAAAAAAATTTTTAAGGATGATGAAATACGATGAGCACGTTAAAGGGATGAAGTCGCACGTATACAGATATCAGTGGAAACCGAGATACGATAATTATGAAGATTTGAGACATACAAATAATTATGAACCAAGATATCGAAACAATTATAATCCTAGAGTTTATGATAATGATAGGGGGTATAATGGGCCAAGACCGTATAATAATTTTACAAGATTTAACAATAAAAATAATTATAATAATAACTACAATAACTACAATAACTATAGATATAATAATAATGATAATTTCAAATATAATGAAAAATAATAGATAGATATTATAGACATCAAAACGAATCAAGTTACATACCAAGATACAATAATAATCAAAACAATAATCAGTCATACAACAATAGATTTGACGTAAATAGAATGAATGATGATGACAAGGCGATAATTACAAAGTTACGACTTACCTTAATGATTTACCAATAGTCATGCAGATCAACACCAGGTCGCGGTATTTAATATTGCCGATTACTATTGCTAGAAAGATAGGAATTAAAGTCTTAAATAAATCGGATACGAAACTGACTGGCTATGATGGGAAAAGAATAGAGGTGTAAGGAATCGTTCAAATAAAAGCGAGATATGAAGATAAAACTCAAAACTTAAATGCGTATGCAGTCCAAAGTGACAAGATTGCAATTTTGGGAAGGACGTGGATAAAAGTTTTTGGAAACATACTTTATAAATTTGTAAATAAAATCGAGGAAAATAGAAAAGTAGATAGTAAAAATTATGAAGGTACATATTACAATAAAAAGCATGAAAATTCTAATTATAAATATCATAATAATAATAACTTGATTAAAATTGAATTATGTAAATTAATACCAAATGTTAATAAAAAATAAATTCTTATAAATTAAAAGAAATAAATCATATGATAACAATTGAAGAAATAATAGTTATTAAAAACAATAATGAAATAAAAATTAAAGAAAATATTAAAATAAAAATTTTTATAATTAATAAAAAATTTAAAAAAACTTTGGAAATAAAGAAAATTAAAACAAATATTAAAAAGAGAGGCAAGGTGATTAAATATCTTGATGTTGAAAAAGAGATTAAGAGTATGATATGGAGATCGTATGTTGAAGATGGAAGGAGAAAGAGAATTTTTTTTATAAAGAACAAGTTGAAGATAAATTATGATATAAAAAAATTGTTTTAATTGAAAAATAAAGGAGTAAAATTTAAAAATAAAAATAATTAAATAAAAAAATTATTATATAAAAAGAGACAATTCTAAATATTCTATTATTCTATATTCCAAATTATGATTCTTATTCTTATGAATGATTCTGATAAATTATTTGTTCCATTATCATTTCACCAAAAATTATTTTATTTGAGATATATTGATCATAATATATATTTACAAACATGATAATAAATAACGAGATGAACAAGCTAATGTGAGGATGATCAAGCGAATGATTAGACGATAAGGATAACAAGCTACGAACAAACCAATGAAAAAGATATGACTCAGGCTAAACAACGAACAAAATATCAAATGAAAATTCTACTACAAAGGAGAAAAAATTTTTAGAGGGGGAAGAAGTGAATAAGTTCAAGTTCAAAATTAGAAAATTCGTTCAAGTTCAAAATTCAAAAATTCAAAGTCAAGTTCAAAATTCAAAAATTCAAAGTCAAGTTCAAAAGCGAGAATATGACCTACGACATAGAAAATGATTGTTATAAATAGATAAAAAAATTTTTGTAAAAAAATATATATATAAAATTTTGAAAGGGAAATGGGATGATCAATACAAACAGCAAATCAACAAGCAATGTTCAACCAACGACGTTTCAACAATGATGTTCAACCAACGATGTTTCATAAAAGATGTTCGATAATCGATTCAACAAACGATAATCAGATGGTCAAACAAACAATCTTAAGATATACAAACAAGTGACTAATGGAGAAATTGAGAAACAAATGACTGGAAGAAACTGAAGAAAAAAGACATTTTAAAAAAGAGGGAAATGTTAATTAGATAATTTTTTGAATATAAAAAATTTTGTATTTCTTTTACTATTGTAATTTAATGACCTTTAAACTTTATATTTTCCTAATGAAATTTTCGTAAATTTTACTTTACTTTTTAAGGACCAAGTTGTCAAAATTTAACCTTTTAAAAAAACTTATGTAAAAAGTGTAAATTAAAATTGTATATTATATATATATATATAATTGTAAAATTTTTAGTATTAGTTATAATAAAAAATAAAATAAAAATTAAATTTTATTCTTTCCGTGCCTTCCGTTAATCTAAAACTTCCATTAAAAATGTGGGTTGCGTTGAACAGCAACCTTCGAACGGTTGATCTTAGTCAATTATTTTTAGAGCTAAAACGGGCTCTAAAAGACTCGAAGTTTCCTGTAAATTTGTTTAAACTCTGGTAGGATATGAGCCTAAATAACAAAAACCGCCATTCAACCCATTTAAATTATATCTGCGGATGTACCCTATGACAAATCAATAATTTAATTTTATGAGTCTCTAAGACCAACATATTTTCTTAGACTAATATAGGTCTCCTTAATGAGAGTTTAAAGAACCTGATGGATAGTAATACTCAGTGGCATTCCACTGGCCTGGGATTATATTATATTTCATCGATTTCTTTCTAAATTGAATAATTCAGACTATGACCTTAATACAAGCTGAATTATTTTTAAAAAGAACTTTGGTTTAAATTTATTCATTGTCTAACACTTTGGAATTCCTTTTGGAGGAGGCATGCTAATATTTTCTAGGAACCGGACATCTCAATGATTCTTCTTTTTACAAATGAATCTCAAATTTAGTATTATCCAAAAAAAATCTGTATGGGAGAGAGCCCTAATATAATACATTAAATTTTCGACATTACATGATTTGACATTAAATTCAATTTTCTTATTCTTGCAAATGGAATTAGAAATTTCTGGTATATTATTTTACGAATTTATTCCAAGGTGTAAAATTTTAAAATCTCAATATTTGATCATTATTTAATTTAAAGATTAGTAAATTAAAAATTTTATTTATTATTACCCTTAGAGCCCGTCTTTTTTTTCTTTTTCCATAGGTACCACCATTCATGATCTTTTGGATTGATAGTT